CTCAGCACTTGTTACCACTGTCGCTGGCTTTGCCTCTTCCCACCGCCTTGACTACGCCGCTCACGTGGTGAGTGGCCCTGCTCGTTCTCCGTTCTCTGGGGGTGCTCCTGTCTTTCCCTTGGAGGTCCTCGAGGACAGGCAGTTCGAGCTTGGTTTCCTTGCGGCCGCTGTTCCTCATCTCTGCGCCATGCTACTTGCCCCTGAGGGGGATCCAGACGCCCTTGACATCCTGATCCCTCGCACTCACGCCGAGGCGGTCTGGGGACCCTGGGCTTCGTACTGGATAGCAGCTGAGGAGGCAGAGATGGCATCTTATAGGTCCACAGGCACTTACGTCGACGCAGTCCCACCACCTGGGACGAACGTCGATGGCTCTACAAGGTGAAGCGGCCGCCTGGATCACCACCAGTGTTCAAGGCGCGCTATGTGGCGAGAGGCTTCAGTCAGCGAGACGGGGTGGACTTCTTCCAGACCTTCGCTCCCACCCCGAAGATGAGTACTCTTCGGGTGTTGCTGCACATTGCAGCCCAGCGCGACTACGAGTTGCACTCCTTGGACTTTTCCACCGCGTTCCTTCAGGGGAGCCTGCACAAGCAGATCTAGTTGCATCGCCCGCCTGGCTTCACTGGCTCTTTCCCACCTGGGACCCAGTGGCAGCTGCGTCGACCAGTCTACGGCCTGCGTCAGGCTCCACGTGAGTGGCACGACACACTTCGCTCGACCCTTGCAGCTCTTGACTTCTTTCCGTCGTCTGCTGACCCATCACTGTTCGTTCGCCGTGGCTCGACCCCGTTCTTTGTCCTGGTCTACGTCGACGACGTGGTGTTCGCCACTCCCGATTGACGCGCGCTGGCCTCCGTGAAGGAGGAACTGCAGAGGAGACACACTTGCACTGACCTTGGTGAGCTGCAGCACTACCTTGGCCTGCAGATCACTAGGGACAGGGCAGCTCGCACCATTACGCTGACTCAGTCGCATATGGTCGAGCAGATCCTCACGCGGTTTCGCTTCCCGTTCTCCAAGGTACAGCTCACCCCCCTTGGTGTGGATCATGGGCTCACGGCTCCACCTTCGGACGAGCCATTTGAGTCCAGCGGTCCATATCCTGAGCTGGTGGGTTGTCTCATGTACCTGATGACCTGTACTCGCCTAGACCTAGCTTACCCTCTTAGCATCCTTGCGCGCTTTGTTGCGCCTGGGAGACACCGACCTTCCCACTGGTACGCGGCTAAGAGGGTGGCGAAGTATGTGGCGAGTACATTAGGCATGGGACTTGTCATTGGAGGGAAGCAGCCAGTTACACTCACAGGTTACTCGGACTCGTCGTGGGCCGACGACGCGGAGACGCATCGGTCTACACAGGGGTACTCCTTTAGCCTCGGGGCAGGTGCTGTTTCGTGGCGGTCGACTCGGGCGTCGTTTTGTCGCCGGTTCCAGCTGTGAGGCAGAGGTGTACGCTGCGGCCATGGCCGCTCAGGAGCTTCGCTGGCTGTCTTTCCTTCTCACCGACCTTGGTGAGCGGCCTCGCTCTCCCCCAGTCTTGTTCGCCAACAACGGGTCTGCTATCCTGTTGTGTGAGGAGCCCTGACTGGTTGGGAAGGCGAAGCACATCCAGCTTCGTTACTTCCTTCTACGTGAGTTGCAGCAGCGTGGCCAGGCCCGCGTGGTACGTGTGGTCTCTGAGGCCAACACTGCAGATATCTTCACCAAGGCGTTGCCGTCTTGTGACCACCAGCGTTTCTGCACCCAGCTTGGCCTTGTGCCTGCCCGTCCTCACTTGCTTACGTAGAGATGCCTTGTCCTGCATGTCTTGTACTCTTGCATCTCTATATATTTGCTATATACTTGCATGTGGACTGGCCTTGTGGCCCCTTGCTTGCTCTCGGAGTGTGTGGTGACTTTGAGCTCCACCCTGAGATTTGTCTTGTTCTTGTGGACTGGTCTTGTGACCGTTGCTTGCTCTTGTTGTTTCTACCGGACTACCGTCACCTAGACTATGGGGGTGTGTCAAACTATAATTCTATAGTTTGTGTAGTTCTAGTCTAGGTGTTCTCCCTTGTGTTATTTTGTACTTGCACTAGGGTTAGGTTTTGCATATATCTTGTTTGTACTTTCTGTTTTAGTCAATTTTACATTGTGACATTGTGAACGTGACGGGGCACAGCACGCCAACCAGCTGCAAGCACCTGCGAAGCAGGTGCGCTGCTGTCCTGCGGGTGCAACGTTTTGCAGCCGCCTTGCTGCAGCGTTGTCACGCCGTCGACTTGCAGCGTTGGTAGACCGCGACGTTGCACTGCTGGGGCGCGGTCGACCATGCAGTGCTGGAACGCGATCGACCGTGCTGCGCTGGCAGTCGGCCTGCATGCTTGCTAGCATCTGATGTAGTCCATTGTTGCTTTGTATTGTGAACTATTGTTGTCAATCTTTGCTTGTGGAACTCTTGCCAGATTTCCCCGTGAATGTGCAAGTAGCGTGAACACAAGCAAACGACTAAGGAACGAACGCAGAGATCACCCCTAACACCCCGTGCCTTCCTCGTAGTCTAGCTCCCGTTGTGTTAGTTATCTCCGCATGGTGCGGTGAGCGTCGGCACCGCAACGAAACCTTTGGTTCAGCCGACTTAGACACGCGTTACCTATTTCGTTCGTAGGCCGGCAGCTGTGCTAGTCATCATGGTTGGTCCCGTAGCTGACGCGAGCGTAGTGGACACCCTGGAGACGCGGCTAGCAAATGCGAGGAGACGCCATGAGGATGGCGAGTTCGGGCCGAGCCTCCTCCTTGAGGTCGTCGAGCTGGGTATCCGTGCAAAGTGGGCGTCGGAGCACCCTTCCCGACCTGGTTCTCCTCGACCGGCACGGAACGAAGTCGGCGTTGGCGTGGGCGTCGACGGCGGCGACCAAGTCGGCAGCAGTGCGGGAGGCACGTCGAGGCAGAGAGGGATGTTCCGGACGGCCGACGGTGAAGCCGGCGGCGTTCAGGCGCGAGGGCTGCAGTCGTCGGCGGCTGCGGGCTCCTCGTAAGGCGACGTTGGTGGACGTCGGAGCAGCGTGACGCCGGCGTCGGCGATTCACGTGACTGCAGGAGGGATCGCGCCGACCTACGGGTACTTCTAGTTCACGCCGTACAAGGTCTCCGTCACAGCGCCGCTGGTCGGTCGTCACGACCTTCTCACGTGGAAGGAGTCCATCGAGCCCCAGCTGGAGATGGCCGGGCTGATGTGCTTCGCCGACGGCACCGTGGAGACGCTGCCTGCGAGCAACGCCGCCTGCTTCGCGCCGTGCAGCTGCTGACCTTCACGGACATCTCGCGGTGCTACTCGCCGGTGGTGCAGATTGCCATGAAGTCGTGCCGGAATCACCTGGACGCCGGCCACCGGGCGTGGCAGTTCATCACGTCGACGTACCAGGTCACCGATGACCTGTACATCGGCCAGCTGGAGGAGCAAATGACGCACCTGCGGATGGGCGAGCAGGAGAAGGCGACCGACTACTGCAACCGAGCTCGGCGTCTCCTGGCCTGCATGTGGATGGCTGGCGTCGAGTATTCCACGGCGTCGTACATCACGCACGTCATCAAGGGGCTCCCGAGCAGCTACAACCTGATGAAGCGGCTGACGGTGGTGCCGGGCACGAGGGAGTCGCTCAACGAGGCCTCGCTGACCTCGTACATCCTAAGGGACGAGGCGATGCAGGATGCCGAGAAGTCCACAGAGCTCCTGCCGCAGGCGCACTACGTCGCCCCGGCGAAGCAGGGAGGCCGACCGGGGCAGCATGGCAAGCCTGGCGGCGGTGGTAGCGGAGGTGGTAAACCGGCCAAGGACGCCGACAAGGGCAGGTCGGCCAAGGACAGCGGTCGTGGAGGCGGAAGTCGGCGACGGGAGTGTTCGATGTGTGGCGACCCCGACCACCTCTCCTTCGAGTGCCCCGACCGCAGCGACTCCGACGACGATGACACCAAGGGAGGCCGAGGGAGGTCGGTCGGGCGTCGCCCTCGTCGGGAAAGCAAGCCGTGCAAGGAGAAGTCGACCAAGCCGACGTCGGCAAAGGACGCCGACTCCTCCTCTGGCGGCAAGAGGCGAGACGACGGAGAAGCGTCGTGCTCGCTGGTCGGCGTCGTGGAGCCGGTCATCTCACTGGCGCTGGAAGCAGGCGAGGACTTCCAGGCGATGGCGGCAGCCGTGCAGGCGAACCCGGTGGTGGTCCTTCTCGATAGCGGCTGCTCGCAACACTTGATGGGGACAAAGTCGGCCTTCGTCGACCTGGGGCCGAGCGGCGACGTCAAGCACGTGTGCGGCTTCAATGGCGCGCTGCAGGACGTCCAGGGCCGCGGCACAGTCGCCTTGCAAGGGGAGGCCGGGAAGCAGGTGCTTATCCCCGACGTGCTATACGTCCCGGGCATGCATGCGAACCTGCTTTCCGCCGGCTAGCTGAAGGAGAGCGGCGTGAAGCTGCAGGACGATGGTGACGGGATGCTGCTCGTCTCGGCGGCGGGGGACGTGCTTGGTCGGGCGACGTATACTGGCCGGGTCCTCTGCACCGACCTTCGTCCGTGCCCGGCGACGACGACGTCGACCACGACGGAGACGGTGGCTATGCGGACCATCGCTACGGTGACGAAGTCGACGCCGGCCAGGTGGCACGCGAGGCTTGCGCATGTCGACGTCGACACCATCACGAGCTCGGCAAAGCACGAGGTCGCCACCGGCCTGGACATCAAGCCGTCGGCCGGCACCAACTCTCCGTGTGTCTCGTGCGTCGGTGGGAAGCTGGCGCGGCACACCTTCCCTGACAAGGGCTCCGACGCCGAGGACGCCCTGGCTGTCGTGCACATCGACCTGTGCGGGCCGTTTCGGGTGGCTGCCAATGTCAAACTATATTTGTTATAGTTTATGTGTGTTAGTCTAGGTGTGTTACACTTTGCCCTAGCTTCAGTTAGGGTTTCGATATCCATCCTTGTACTGCTTGTTTCTCACTCATTCATTCGATACCTACCTTCGTGACATGGTATAGAGCTAGATCGATCCGTTGGGCCCACTGCCCCGTAACCCGAAGCGCCCCGTAGCCCGAAGCGCCCCGTAGCCCGAAGCGCCCCGTAGCCCGAAGCGCCCCGTAGCTCGACGAGCCTCGTACCCGTAGCGCCCGTGTAGCTCGCGCCCCCGTCCCCTCCCCGTCGCGGCCCCGTCCCCTCCCCGTCGCCTCCCCGTCCCCTTTCCGTCGCCTCCCCGTCCCCCCCTTCCCGTCGTCTCTGCGTCGCCTCCCGTCGCCTCTCCGTCCCCCCTTCCCGTCGTCTCCGCGTCGCCTCCTGTCGCCTCCCCGTCCCCCCCCTTTCCGTCGCCTCTCGTTGCTTCCCCGTCCCCCCCTTCCCATCGCCTCCGCGTCGGCCCCTCGTCGCCTCCCCGTCACCCCCTTCCCGTCGCCTCCGCGTCGCCTCCCGTCGCCTCCCCGTCCCCCTTTCCGTCGCCTCCGCGTCGCCTCTCGTTGCTTCCCCGTCCCCCCCTTTCCGTCGCCTCCGCGTCGCCCCCCCCCCCTCATCGCCTCCCCGTCCCCCCCCTTCCCGTCGCCTCCCGTCGCCTCCCCGCCCCCCTTTCCGTCGCCTCCGCGTCGCCTCTCGTCGCCTCCCCGTCCTCCCCCCTTCCCGTCGCCTCCGTGTCGCCTCCCGTCGCCTCCCCGTCCCCCCTTTCAGTCGCCTCCCATCGCCTCCGCGTCCCACCCCCCTTCCCCGTCGACTCCCAGTCACCTCCCGCCGCCCTCCAACCCATACGGACTGCTGTCCACCCTTAGCCCGCCACCAGCACCAGCGTAGGCCGCCGCCAGTGAGCGCCAACAGCCTACGCCACCGCGAGCGCACCAGCAGTAGCATAGACTACCGCTAGCAGCACCAGCAGCAGCTTAGGCTGCCCCCAGTTGAACCAGCAACAACCTAGACTGCCGCCAGGAGCACCAGCAGCAGCATAGGCTGCCCCCAGCGCACCAGCAGCAGCTTAGGCTGCCCCCAGCAGAACCAGCAGCAGCATAGGCTGCCCCCAGCGCACCAGCAGCAGCCTAGGCTACCACCAGCGCACCCCCCCGTTTCTAGCTCCTCAGATGGCGTGTACTAGAGTTCTACAGCAGCAGGGCCAGCCGCAGCACTCCCGGCAGTGGGGACCTATGGGTCCAAAGTGTGGCGCCCCCAGCAGTGGCTTAGCTAGCAGTGGGCGAGACGTCGGCCCCTGCGGGTACCGGGCCCTGACAGGCCCTGGTGCTGGCACTACTTGCTAGAGTCCTTACCACTCTGCGTCCAGCTGCTACTGTCGACTCGACGACCTTCACCGTGAGCGTTTTGGTCCTCACGCTATTACACCGCACTGGCCCTCGCGACTTCGCCAGCGCACTGCTGCACCAGTTGAGTCTCACCTACCTGGTCTAGGACCTTTCCCGGCTGCTCGAGTAGAGACCTGTGTTTCCAGTCTTGGTGCGTGTGTTGTTTCCAGTCCAGGCACCTCTGAGGGTCTTTGTGTAGGAGCTGCAGCTACCACTAGTCTAGCACCAGCCTTTGTCGCTAGCTCTGGTGCGACCTCACAGACTGCACAGCTTTCCTTCACCTTAGACTCTGGAGCGTCTAGCTGTTTCTTTCGCGACTGTACTGACCTCACACGACTGCGCACTCCAGTCACTGTCGCCTTGGCTGACCCCTCTTTGGGACCTGTAGTTGCCCGTAGCACCACCACTCTCCTGTGTCCGGCGGCTCCCTCTGGGTTTCTCACAGGTTACTACACCCCCTCGTTCTCCAAGAACCTGGTGGGTGTTAGTCACCTCCACGATCTAGGTGTAGTCACTACTTTCCCACTGGACGAGCCTGTTGCCTCCTGCACAATCGGTGCTACTGGGGCCCCTCTGGCCACTTTTCACAGGGAGCCAGGCTCTGGTCTGTACTCACTACACACTGGGTCCCACCACACTGGGTCAGGCCAGGTCAGGTCAGGTCAGGAAGCTGCTGTGTCGTGCGACTGTCGGTCCCTCACCCACCCGTCGGTCCTCTGGCACCACCGTCTAGGTCACCCGTCATTCCCACGTCTCCGTAGGATGGTACGTCACCGTCTGGTCTCAGGTCTCCCAGAATCGCTAGCCCCGCTTCATCGCTCGCCTGCGCCGCCGTGCACTCCTTGCGTCGAGGGTCGGCAACGCGTTACCCCTCACTCCTCCTCGTTCCCTCCCACCACGGCTCCTTTCCAGACCCTGCACTTGGACGTCTGGGGCCCCTCCCCGATCCTTGGCCCACGTCAGGAGCGCTACTTCCTGATTGTGGTGGACGACTACTCCCGCTACACCACGGTTTTCCCCTTGCGACGGAAGGCCGACGTGCCTACCGTCCTCGAGCCGTGGCTACTAGCGTGGGGTTGCGCACAGGGCCTGTGTGGGCTTTGCCTACACTCGGACCGTGGTGGAGAGTTTTCTTCCACTCACCTGGGGACGTTCTGTCAGGGTCGGGGGATCATCCAGTCTTACACGCTACCAGCCTCGCCGCAGCAGAACGGGGTAGCCGAGCGACGCATCGGCCTGGTCATGGAGGTTGCCCGGACCTCCATGTGCCATGCCGGTGCCCCCAAGTTCTTGTGGCCTCAGGCAGTCCGCTACGCCTCGCACCAGCTGAACCTGTGGGACGCACGGCCACGGGTGACGCCGGTGTCCCTTTGGACAGGTTCTCCGGGCGTAGCAGCTGACTTCCGTGTCTGGGGTTCTCTAGCTCACATTCGCGCCCCTGGTGCGAACAAGTGGTCTCCGCGTACTCGTGCCTGCGTCTTTCTTGGCTTCCCTTTGGATGCCTCAGGCTCGGTGTTCTACGACCCGCTCACCTACGAGTTCTTCGCTTCTCAGGATGTCACATTCGACGAGTCTGTCCGTTACTACAGGAGTCGCCCCCACCGAGGTACTGAGGTCTTTTCGCCCCCGCTGTTCCTCACCCTTGAGCCCCCCCCACTCGCCCCGGTAGCCCCCCCCCCCTCGCGTCCTGCCCTGTCAGGTGTGTTGCACATCACTCCGCGGTCGTCCCCCCCGCAGCGTCCAGTCCCGGTCGTATCTGGGGGTGCGGGAGGTGCAGTTGCGGAGGGTGAGGGTACTGGGGCTGCTGGAGCTGGTGGTGTCGGTTCTGGGGATGCAGGGGGTGTGGGCGTGGAGGTCACTCCCGTGGAGGACACTGCAGCGTCGACTCGGCTGCCTCGCCCCGCGTCACCCCCTGGCTTCCCGTCCGTCCCGCAGTTCCCTCCTCGTTCTTCTCTGCGGCCGGTTGCTGCGGAGCATGGGGGTGTTCCTGCGGGAGGTACTGGAGGCCCCGGGGGTGTCGGTGGTGGAGGTGCTGGTTCTGGGGATGCTGGAGCTGGAGGCACTGGCACTGTGGCGCCTACACCGCGCACTGTACGTTTCCTGACCCGTGAGCAGCGTCTCATCCGGTTGGAGAGGGAGGAGTGTGAGCGGTTTGAGAGGGCACAGCAGCAGCAGCAGCATCAACAACAGTCTCAGTCGCAGCAGCAGGAGAGAGTAGAGGAGGAGTCACAGCAGCAGCAGGAGAGAGAAGAGGAGGAGTCAAGAGTGCAGCAGCGGGTGCAGTTGCAGTCGCAGCCTGTACTTCCTGCTGCTGAAGGACCGCAAGACCCGCTACGTGTGGGACACCAATAAGTCCGACGTGCTGCGGGAGTTCGAGAAGTGGCTGGTGGTGGCTGAGCGGCAGACGAAGAAGTCGGTGCTGATTCTGCGCTCTGACCGGGGAGGGGAGTTCCTCGGGAAGCAGTTCACCGACTTCGTGGACGGCAAGGGGATCGTCCACGACTTGACCTGCCCCTACACACCGCAGCAGAACGGCATGGCGGAGCGGGAGATGCGGACGGTGGTGGAGTCGGTGCGGACGATGCTGCTGCACATGGGCGTGCAGCACCACTGGTGGCACCTCGCCCTGCGGCAGGCCGTGGGTGCGCAACTGCCTGGAGATGTCGACGCTGCCGCCGGGGACGACGTCGTTTCAGCTGCTGACCGGCAAGAAGTCGGACTTGACGCTGGCCTGTGTGTGGGGCTGCATGGCGCAGTTCCTGGTCCCCGAGCAGTAGTGCGGTGGAAAGCTGAAGCCAAAGGCCAGGTGGGGCCTTCACCTCGGTGTATCGGAGGAGAGAAAGGGCTGGGAGCTCCTCGGTGTATCGGAGGAGAACAACAGGGTGGTCACCACGTCGGACGTGGTGTTCTATGAGACTTTGTCGTTGGAGGTGTGGAAGTCGGAGCACGGGCCGGCGTCGGGGAGGACGCAGGTCAACCCACCGACGGACACCTCGACGGCGTCATGTCCCTTGCTCGCCGAGGTCGGCGAGCCAGCTGATGAGGACGAGGACGTCCTCCCCTCTCTCCCTTACCCAGCCCCTCGTACCCCACCCCTCGTAGCCGAGCTGCAGAAGCTGACGCCAGTGTCGGCCTCCGGCGGTGAGGGGAGCAGTGGGACGTTGCCTGTGGCGCCGGCCAAGAGCATCGCCGGTGGCCGACGTGACGTCGAGCAAGTCGGCGAGGAAGTGGCGCCGCCGACAACAGGGGAGCAGCGGGTGTAGGGGAAGCAACCGACTTTGCTGCAGTCGTGGAAGGTTGTGGCATAGAAGCCGCCGACATGGGAGCAGCCAGCAGGGACGCCGACCAAGGCGCCGTCGGCGGCCGGGAAGTCGGCAGGGGAGCCGATGACAGGGGAGAAGTCGGCAGGGACGCCGACTTTGGTGCAGCAGGCCGGTGAAGGCAGTGAAGCCGGCGACGATGAAGGGGAGCATTCGGACGCCGGGAAGTCCGCCGACAGCGACGTAGTGGAGGTCACCGCCGAGGAGCCTGGACCACGGCGTTCAGGCCGACTTCGGAGGCCGCCTGAGTTCCTGACCTACCATGTGTGCCTGCTGCCGGCCGCCTTCACAACGCTGCATGACGACGACAAGGATGAGCCGCTATACGACGACGCCAAGGATGACGGCGACCTGCCAGAGCTCGACCCCGACATGCACGCCGACCCCGAGAACCGCTGGGACATCGCGACGATGGCGGTGAAGGAGGCGTTCGCGAGCTGGAAGGGCAAGGAGGTGAAGGCCGCCATGGACGAGGAGATCCGTAGTCTCATCGGCATGGGCACCTGGGAGCTGGTCGAATGCCCGCGCGGGGTAAACATCATGAAGAACCGGTGGGTGCTGATGACCAAGTACCACGTCGACGACACGGTCGCCCAGGAGAAGGCAAGGCTAGTCGTGAAGGGCTTCACGCAGGGGTATGGCATCGACTACGACGAGACGTACGCGTTGGTGAGCAACTACATCACGCTGAGGATCTTCCTCAGCATCGTTGCGGTCCTCGACCTCAACCTGATGCAGCTCGACATGAAGAACGCCTTCTTGGAGAGCAAGCTCGACAGGGTGCTGTACATGTACCAGCCGGATTACTACAACGACGGGACCGGCCGGGTGTGCAAGCTGTTGAAGAGCCTGTACGGGCTGAAGAAGTCGCCGCTGCTGTGGTACAGGGCGCTCAACGCCGTGCTGATGGGCGCCGGCAGGAAGAAGAGCCAGGTCGACGAGGCGTTGTACTTCAAGGTTGGCGCCGATGAAGTGGCCTGCTAGGTGCTGGTCTACGTCGATGACCTGCTCGCCGCAAGCAGCAGCACCATGATGCTGAAGGAGCTGCTGGAGGCCGCCTTCGAGCTGCACGAGATCTTGACAATGGAAAGGTACCTCGGGCTAGAGATCGTGCATGACAGGCCGGCGAAGAAGCTGTGGCTGCACCAGCAGGGCTACACC